TTGCAGCGCTAATCCCTATCATGCCGTCCTTTAAGAGTTTCTTCGAAGATACATTCTGCTATTAGAAGTCGTGAATGCTGGTGCGTAACAGGTGTATTTCGTGCGGCGTGATGACGTTTTCGGATGGCACTGAGGCCATTCCTACCTGAAGTGGGCCGCTAGTTACGAAAATTCAGTAGCTCACTCATTCCGGACGAGATGTCCGACTTAAAATACACGTAGTGTGACGCAGTATGACACGTTAGTATGAGTGCGATTGCCTCCTACGTCCGTCTTCAGCGATTAGTATGTGAACTTGTAGTTGCAAGGGATTGCTGATGAACAAGAAAAGCCGATGAGTCCCCTTATTGAGGCCAGATTGACCTCAATAATGGCCTGGTTTCAGCCTTGGTGGAGCATGAGGATAGAGACGCAGAGACGCTCAGCGATTAGCCGGGCAACCGCGAGTGATAGAACACACGAGCAAACAAGGAAGGTGAATAGCTCCTCATTATGGGTGCAACCAGACTGAAAAAATCGCTGTCATAGCCCGCATTATTATCATGTACTTCTTATGCAGACCTTCGCATACGGGGAAGGGATTCTGCATGTCAGGTGATCGCGAAATGTATTTTCAAAGTTAATTCTCTGAGTATCTACTACAACAACAACAGCAACACTATAAGGAAAGATTTCAAAAGTATTGTGATGAGATGACGGGCTGGCTAACTATCACTGGAAAAGGAATCATTCTAGAATCCATTTTTTTTCAAACATGAGCATATTCTCATTTGGCTTGTTCAGGTCCGAAAGTGTTTCTGTGGAAGCCAATGAATGCTCAGGTGCGATTTAACATCACACCTCTTACAGTAAGCATGAGAACAGTGTTCGCTATAATGAACTGTTCTAGGGAACATGGGGGAATCTTCTGATGATGACGACCCTCTTCACATTGATGATGAGCTGCAGGTTCTATATCACTCCATCACGATTATGACGCCTTTATTTTCTCTTTGTGCAGACTAACATATCACCTCTGCCGGTGCCATCCTGTATAATGGGTTATGCTGGTAGATTGTATGATCCATTGAAGATATTGTGGTTAAAACTACGAAAGTTAGGATGTATCGTGGATGCAGTTCAGGTAGGACTTAGTCCTGTAACTGATTTATTCACTTTTTCTTATTTTATTGGTATGAACCACTGTATTCTAGATTTTCGTCTTCGCGGAAAATAGTGTGCCTCTGATGATTCCAGGTCAAACCTACTCGCAGGAAACTAAAATGCAATGTGGATCGCTGTATATTCAAAGGTGGACCGTTTGAGAGTATTCAGTTGAGCTGCACTCTTCCACCGAATGTTGAACTTGCAATCCGGTGGATTTGTATCTGCGTGGTAAGTCCATCAATTATGTTAGTCATAGAAGGCATAAGGAAACACAGTCACAAATTGTACAGTTACATGAGAGGTATCACATCTTTTATGTGTAGATGGGGAGGTGCAGAACTGTAACAGCTTTGCTAGACATCATAGCGATGAAGCCGAAGACCTGTGATGTTTGACGCTCTACCCACTTACGCCTATGAACGCTACTCGTCTGCAATCTTCTTGTTAAGAGAATGTTTGAAAACGTTCGGAAATGGTACCGGCATGTTTCGGGAAGATGTTAGTTTCGAGTAGGAAAGAATGTACCATGGAAGGCGAAACAAGCCTCATATCTGATAACTATCTAAAGATCACAAGAATGACTTCAAAAAACTTGTAAAGCCTTCGGTCTAGCGGTTCACAGCCGATATCTAACGATTACGGCTGACCGGCTCACCATATTAAACGGCCATTCTTGTGACAACACTTATTCCGGATAAAGATTTCACGTTATTCCTATAAACGCAGTTGTCTATGAGAACCAAGGCACTTAATCTTCTGAGGAAAATGTTTGATATGGAAGTTTGCCATCTAGTGGGCGCCAACATAGTTCCGGGTATCACACTCCAGCGTTTTTGTATCCATTTCATTCGGACTTGGAATACAGACGACCATGGTCGCCAAAGAAAAAATCCTGCAAGGAAAGCATAGTCTCCACTAAGCCTGAGTCCCGATTAGAGAAGATGGCATACGGAGGGCGTTAACTGGGCTTTATATTTATGTTCTACCATCGGATTACCTCGTTGAGACCTCACAGACCTCTAAGGCCGCGTTCATATTTGCGACAGCGACCATCAGAGTTTCGAGCGTCCCGTGAACGTCAGCGACTAGGAAAGCACAGTTATCAGTCTAGCGAACGGCAGCGCCTACCGGCGTCCACCAGCCACCATTAACGTCTCCGGGGACTAGGAAAGTAAAGATGTAGATCTAGCGTCTACTAGCGACCAGTAGTGGAGATTGTGGGAAAGTAAGGTGTAGCAGACTGCTGGAATGAGGGAGGAGACAGCTGGATTAGGCGTTGTGAAATTGTGGCGTGTGCAACCCGCGCCATACTATTACACAATGCCGTACTCTTAGTCTTTGAGTGGACACTCTCTTGAACGTTAGATCGATTCCATACTTTCCTAGTCCCTCGAGACGCTGATGGTCGCTGGCGAAGTTTGAACGCAGCTTAATGGATCTTTAGTCATCAACGATGACATCAATTATAGGATGCAGACGAGTAGTTTTTGGCTGTGCTAGAGCACGCATTAGCATAGACAGTCGTAAACACTGGTTTCCTCATCATGCTCTTTCGAGCGACAAAAGTGCGAAGAGTTCTCTACGAGCCAGCCCAACCCAACACGGAAAGCCTGTACCCTGAATGTCTCTCTGTCTCTGGGACAGGTTGACTGAATGTGGGTCTACGGACAACTCGAACTCGTTCCCTTTGATTGTGCCAGCTTTCTGTTTTCTCTGCGCTCTTACGTTTGCAGCCATTATATTATATTATGTTATTATATATGACCACCGTGACTTTACACAGTCCAACTTGTCACGCATGATAGATGGTTCATCCACCCCGGACCACCCTCGCCCCGAGAAGGTCATCCCCTAGCTAGCGATAGCTTTTTGTGCCTCCTGATGCCTCGGCGGACGCGGTCCTTCACTTCTCTGCGCTCTGGCCTTTCGCGCCAGGACCCAAATTATAGGTTCCAGCTCATGTAATCCTGAGTGTGTATAGAAATGGAATGTTGGCTCGCAGTTCGCTTATATGTAAATGATTCTCATTAATCATTAATCTTTCAGTCGGATATAAGTCGACAAAATGACTACATCATCAAATTTATCAATCTTCTCGAGAAAGGGAAAGGTATGTGAACCTCGTAACTTAAAGAATAACCATTATACGTATTGATTCCGGGTCATATTTTTTTCAGGTGGAACTTTACCACCTACACAGATTGCGTCACGTGAACAACTGATTTCTTTCCCATTTCGAGTTTGCAATCGTCATTTCTCCACAGAACCTGACGAAGGTATTCCAGCAGTGCCGAAGTACCACCTTCCCGGGAAACTGCCGATCTCCAGAGAGGTAAGTTTGCTGTATTGCACCAGCACGTCCTCTTGGTCTTTGAAATTCTCTCATGTCCGGATACGTTTCAAGGATATGCTGTCGAAACTCCGTCGTCGCTATATATTTTTATCTGAATTGGGTTATGAAGATCTTGAGATAGATAAATTAGGTATGGCTGACAGTTTCAAGCATTTCGCCCTTAAAAAGAAATCTTTTCCCTCAAAAACTTTTTCAGAGCCAAATGGTGTTTTGCCTCGACCTTCGGATGCACCGCTTTCGTGCGCTGTTCCTGGTTGGTTTTGTTGTTATTTAATCGGACCATCGCGTAATACAGAAGAACCAAGTCGAATTGAAAAAAATGGCTAGGAAAAACTGTTCGTATCCTACAACGTAGTCGCTGAAAGTTAGAAGGAAATCTGCGCTGTAGTTTCTGATGATCTCCAGAAAATCATTTCGTAATTGCCAATCGAAAGGAATGCGGGGAAATGTGAATAGGTGTCAGTTGACTCACCGGTAAAGATGAAGGCGGAAGTACCCGATGAAAATGCCTCAGTTAAGGCTCAACAGTTCTCAGCATTGGACGAGCTGCGCTTAGAAAACAAGAAGAAACGCGCAGCCGTCCGATGAGTGCAGCGTAGCCGCCCGGTGAGTGCAGATAAGAGCTGATGCCGTTAGGACGTGCTCAGTTTTGGCTGCTGGCTCATTTGTGAAGTGCCTAGATCACCAAATCGGCAGAAATTAGTGCACAGGAGTTATTCGAAATCCTAATTACGAATATGACATCCATCTTGGCGTTGGCGCTAATGGATAACACTACGATTATCTTCTGGCTCAGCCTTGGTAGAGCGCAGATAGTCGTATTCCTCCATTAGAGCTATCACCAAGAATGAATGTCATGTTCGTTTTAAGGGTGTTTAATAACTCCCGGTTACAAATGCGGTTTAGGTGATCTAAGCACTTCATAAATGAGCTAGTAGCCCAAAATGGGCACGTTAAAACGGCATCAGCCGCATTCATGTGGTTTGAGACTCATGGTTTCAGGGACTCTCTAAGAGGGAAGGGTGTCGTATTTGCCTTCCGGCCCTTTAGAAAAGGTTGCTGACTTTTTAGGTTTTTTCCTTGACATCTGCTATATGCCCCCCCCTTCCCTGCCTCCAGCGCGACGCGAAGTTTTCGAAAGCTAAGAAAGTTTTCGGGAATTCCAGAGAAGGATGGTAGAAAGTTGGGAAATCTTAGAGAGTGGTAGACAGCACGGGGAAGGCACTGCACTAGGAAAGTACAGTATCGGTCCTTAAAAATCGGCGGATCGATAGTGTACCTTCCTAGTGGCTCAGAATGAACTTCCTTGGCTGGATAGCGCTTGAAAAAACGACGCAAAGTATGAACGCGCGCTTAGATAGAAACCCTTTCGCATACGCGTACGTACGCTGAAACGCTGAGAACGTTGACGGAAAGTATGAACGCACTCTAACGAATGGTTGCGGAACATGTCCTCATTTGAATCCCATCGCACTACAACAGATTATGGCAGCAGAAGGAATTGTTCATGACTTGTACTTGCTCAGTGTAGCCAATCATGGAACATGCTTGAGCACGTGAAGGTGAAACGAAAGAGTTGTGGTATTCGAGAGCACGAGAGATTTGGCTGGAAAAATAATGCCTGACGGCTATGCCAGTTGGCCAAAATCTGTTTTTTTAGGCTGTCGTAGTAAGTCCACTGACATTTCTATTTTCACTGGAAGGTTCATGAAGATGTTCTCAGTCCAGTCTAACAGGTACGATATTTCAATGAGCATTTGCTCATCAGTTATTCAAATGAAGTTGAATTTTTAAGCATAAAATCATCATTAGAGATTGATTGCACTGACCATCTCGAAACAGTTTTACTTTTTAGTGTCGATCATGGTAAATGGCGTTTAGCCATACAGATGGGGCTAGGGCTGCCCAATTCGTTTGCTTTGACTTTACCGGACCGTGCACGCATTTGTGAAATGCATTTTACCGAAGGAAAACGCTATTCGAGAGGTTCTATGAAGGTATTCAGTTCGAGAGGTTCTACGAAGGTATTCTGGAAGGGCTGGACAAATTCTGAACCTGTTTGCTCCAGCTCAGTAAAGAATAGCTCCTTGCTTCAGGATCCTTCCATCTTTCGCCGGCTGGTCATGGGAAGTATGAACGCTTCACTTTCTCATCTAGGACCGCTACGTATAGTACGATGTGCCGTGAACAGTTGCGCAAATCACGAGGAAGATACAGTTTGTGTGCCGTTCCCCAAATCCAGTAAGCAGTTGTTACAGTTTCGTTCCCTGCGGATGAAGAGTGGAGAACCGTGTCAGACGGGACGGGTTTGGCGCGGCGCCAAATCCATTCCAAACCAGCTGCTGGAGCGGGTAGGTAACAACATCTAGTGAAAAGATGCTGTTACAAGGGAAATGATAGTTTGTCACTCTCTCGCTTCAACAACTGGTGGGAAACCGATCTGCGCCTTGGCAGTGCTACACCTCCACACGCTGCCCGTCAACAGGATTGTATCTCCTTTTGAATACCTCCAGTTTTTTTTTGTTCCAGAAGATCCTCTTCACAGTCAGTGGGTCATCGCTTTAGCCGAAGCTGATGAATC